ATGACTTTTCTGTGCTTGTAATCCTTAGAAAATAAACAAATGAAAATAAAGTCAAATTACAAACATAGAATCATGCATGTTGATCGTGAACTCACGAAAACCAGTCTACGGATTAAAAAGAAGTTTAGGGTAAGTTTTAGCCCAGAAGATTGTTTGCCTTTTTCTTTTCAGGGAACATTTTTTCCCACATCATGCGTCGAGAGGAAATGGCCAAAAAGGTCTTGTACGCAGTAGGGCTGTTGATCAAAACCGTGCTGTTATGCTGTACAGCTGCACAGCAATGGGAGGCTACGGGCCAGCCGGAAGTTTCCAAATTTGGGATGATGCTACAACGCCACATCTTCAAGAGGATCACGGGGGCTGGTCTTTCAGATGTGTGCTTGCGGGGATGCTATGCTGACGTCAGATGTCAAAGTTTCAACTACGTCTTTACGCAAGACATTTGTGAGCTGAGTAACCGAACTAAGGAGGCCAGACCAGAGGATTATGTTCCGAACCCTGAGAGATTTTACTTTAAGCGAGATTACAAACGAGGTTTGTAAATTTTTTACTGTCTTCTTTCCTATAAAGATATTTTCAAAGCACAAAATTTCAACCCAAATTTTCCAGGGAATTTTATAAAATTTAAGGAATTGTGTCACATCACCTCCCTTATTGCCTTAAGTCAAGTCGCCCTCAATATGAGTGTCTTCGTTCCCAAGAAGAACATGAAATCTTGCTTACTTGGAGTGCTATGGTAATAATTGCTTTTTTCTTCCAGCTCCTCTCGGTTCCATTCCTGAGCTGCCTGCGGAGACTTGCCAGGAAATCAAAATGAGCGAAGGAGGACAAGCGGTCAGCGGCAAATACTGGTTTCACTCGATTGTACCCGAGAGGACTGTTCTGGCTCCTTGTGACATGAAAACCGAAGGTGAATTTAAGTGTTTATCAATTCACATCTTCTACAGACAAAAATCGATTTACCACAAGCAAAAACGTTGAGAGAGATATTATGGGTAGACTGCAACCCCCTAACCCCCCTCCCCCACCCTAATGTTCATAGGGTGAAATGAGAAAATAAAGCAAAACAAAACAAAATAAAAATAGTAAGATATCTGACGGAAACAAAGCTATGAAGGAATGCTATAATCTCTCTTAAACTGATCGATTTGAGAACAGGTCAAATAGAATTGAAAAATTTCTTTTTTGACACAGAGATAATAATTCAATAGCAATTGTTATTACAACTTTATAGTGACGAAATTTAACGAATAGGGAAGGGGAAATTTTACTTCCTGATGGGGTCGTACAAAGTAAAATTTTGGCTCCCGCCGGAAGCAATTGGTCTGATGAATCCACGAACGAGTAATAATTCAGCAAATACCTTTTTTTTTTTAAACTGACCACAAACTATTTAATTTTTTCAGACGTGGATGAGTGTAATTCAACAATTCCCGTCTGTGACGCCAACGCCGAGTGCGCGAACACCATCGGTTCTCACAGTTGCTCGTGCAAAACTGGTTTTACTGGAAACGGAAAAAAATGTGTCGGTAAGTTAGTGAAATGACTTTTACTATTGCCTGAAGCAAGTCATTTTAAAACAAAGCAAAACCAAAACAATCTCGGTTTAATCTGGACACTCGATTGAAAAAAATTGCTTTAATAACCGATTGGAATTATACCCCACACCATGTCACGTTCAATTGCTTATACGGCGAGACGCTTTCGCCAATAACAGTCATTTTTGATCGACTCTTGCTCTTGAGTTCAAGCCATTTAGTTTTTTATGCATTCTCTCAGATGTCGACGAATGTGCCAATAAATCGCATGACTGTGATGCCAATGCCTCCTGTAACAATACCGCTGGTTCCTATCGATGCATCTGCAATTCCTGGTACCAAGGAAACGGAACAAGCTGCTATTTTGGTGAGTTTAACTAACACTGAGATACGAGTGACCTCAGTTTGTTATGATGCTCGCATTTCGCCTTCTCTATCTTTCTGTATCGTCATATGAAGCTTAAAATTTTGGAAATATATTTTTTTAACATGAGTCGGTCCTGAATCGAGACCAAGATCCCCTCGCTGTTCTCTACGCATACCGTGTGGTGCTGCCAAGGGGAATTTGTTTGACAATCAACAGCTTGATAACTTGGTGATTATTTCCTTTATTCCCATAATTCTGATGTTTGGTTCAGCGGTGAGGAGAAGTTAAATGCCAAACCCTCTTAGGGGTTAAAGGGTTGAAGAATACTTCTCACTTGGCGCCTAACTTACCAACCCCTCCCCCCTTAAAAAAGAAACAGTTTTATTGATCTTTACAGTTTGTTGCTTACAACTATGTCGAACTTTCTTTCTGATCAGCCGAATCACTCAGAACTTCTTCCATAGTCAAAAAAAGCTGCAGAAATGTTAACGTGAGTTTTTTTGACTAATTGAAAGTTTCAAAATGCGATTGATTTTAGTAGCCATTATTGTCTTTGGTAATTCCTCAATAGGCAGGTACAACAACAGGATAATAGTACCCAATATAAATAAGATCCTTACCACCTGTTAATAAGGTCGGACAGCACTTGCTTCGGTACCAGCTGCTTTTTCGTGAGTTTAACCAACGTTGAGGCAAGAGCGACCTCAGTTTGTTTTGATACTCGCATTTCGCATTCTCTATCTTTCCTTATCGTTATGTGAAGCTTATAATCCTTTGGAAATTAGCTCTCGAATATATATACTTTTTTAACAAGAGTCGGTCCTGATACGGGACCAAGATGGAATTCGTCCTTTATTCTCATGATTCTGTTGATCATGATTTTGTTCGGCTGTAATAGGGTAAGGAGGAATTATAAGCCAATCCCTCTCAGGGGTTAAAGGGTTGAATTGAAGAATACATCTCGCTTAGCGCCTTACTTACCCTCCCCCCCGCTTAAAAAATAACAGAATCATTGATCTTTGAAGTCTGCTTCTCACAACTATGTCGAACTTTCTGACTTGATCAACCTTAATTATTTTGTTTTCATTATTATCATGTTTTTATCTCGTGGTTTCCTTTAATTCTAAGAAAACATTGATTGGTGCAAACAAGGAGGCGAGATATAATAACGTGTACTGGGTTTAGAAATCTGAAATGTCACACAAACACGATTTCATTGTGTTAACACGTCTGAAAGGGAGACAACGTTTCCATAAGTGTTCCTCTAGTTCACACGGGGTTGGAAATAGAAGTTGTGCCTCAGATTGATGTGCGTCACACAACGGTTGTCACCCCCAAGATGACGAATGCAACATGACGCCAAAACTTCAAAGTAGGACAATCCTTACCTTTTCTCCCTTTTTCGGTTTTTCGTATAGGTGGCCTTAATAATTCCGTTATTCTTACCAGCCTCGACTACACCAACTACACAGGTAAGCTACTTTCCTACCTAGAGCCAGTCCTCCTGAGTTCAGAGTGGAGCAGGTTTGTGAAGTGTTGGCATGCTAAGACAGAAGGCTGGGCGGCATCGACATTCCACAGCAACTGCGACGGGAGGGGACCCACAGTAACAATCATCAAAGCGAACGATTCCATATTTGGTGGATATACTGATGTGTCCTGGGGACCAAGCGGTGAGTACGTTTTTGAATAATAAAATTTATATCACTTTTGTATCATACAGTAACATTTAATAAATTTAGGATCTAAATATATTTTCTTTCTAAACTGCACTTAATAAGCTTCCCAAAGCCAATACCAAGGTCATTAAAACAGACCAGTAAAAACAAAGAACAAGAACAAAAGCTGCGCGAGGCGCGAGAAAAACGCCATATACCAAGTCACACCTGGTATAAGACTGATTGACGTATCTCAGTGCCTATATCAGAAGCCCCTCTTCTCTTCCCCCCCTTAGGATCTCTTGGTGCGTGGTAATGTTTCTATACGGCTCCACTATAACCCTCCAAGTTGCTCACGCTAATAAGACTCTCATAAGGGTTGGTTAACCGCCATAGCGAGCTTATAGAAGCTTCAAAATTGGCTGCAGCCGTACCCACCTTTATTAACTTACACTTGACCACCCCTACGTAGATCATTCCATTTCTCTTTTTAAGTTTTGAAAGACCTGAAGGAATTGTAGGATGGTCTAACAACTGATTAGTAGAACTTACAGTCACTATGTTCTTACAACGTCACCTGGTTTATATAGGTTCATGTCGTAACTCCTATGCTCGGAAAGCTTTTCTCTTCTCCCTCAACAACATCAAAGGATACAATCCTGTGAAGCTGGCACAATACCGATACCAGCATAGCGCAATGTGCAGTTGTTCCTCTCACGGACCCATTTTTGGTTGGGGACGTGACATCATCATATATAACGACGCTGCAAACAAGCAACGCTCTTATACTAAATGCGGTGGGACGTACAAAAACCCCACGGGTTATTCATCTGGAGACTGTAAATTTTTCACAGGAGCATTTCATTTTACTCCATCCGACATTGAAGTTTTCTTCGAAATCGGTAATTACTGTACAGAAACACTTAAAACCCTGTCGTAAATATACGATGAATAAATATACATAAACTCTAATCCTTGGCAACGTTCAGGGATTCTAAAAGTGCATGCGCTGATCATATACAGCAGCGAAATACTATTCAGGTTATGGTGGCGGCAGTGCTAAGTGAATTGTATCTCAGTTCAGGGATATCAGTGCTCATCGACTAAATCAGGGAAAAAATTGATCTAGATGCCATGTTTTGCCATGAAATTGAATCGCTAAGTCGGGCTAAAGCAGACAGTTTAACCTAGCTAAACTGAACTTTTGGTTTTTGCTTTTGGTTTCCCAGTTTTACAACCACTTAAGAAAATGTGTTCTCGTGAAATTTAGTTGATGTGTTTACAAAATAAATGTACAAGGAAATATTAAGTTTAAATGGGATCACATGGTTAGCACCTCGCTCTGTGAATAAGAAGATCTGGGGCTCTAATTATTTTGAAACACTTTCACGGTTGTGAAAGACGAATAACATCTTTCTTTATTCTAGAACGTCTGTGATGGAAATTTACATTCAAGTTTCTTTTACGCACATAGGTGGCCTTGGTGCATCTACTATACTTGGAGGCCTGGACCCCAATGAATACTCGGGAAAGATGATTTCATTTTTAGACCCAGTTCTTCCCAGTGCATCTCGTACTGACTTTATTAAGTGTTGGCACGCTAAGACTGACGGCTGGGCGGCATCGAAATTCCACAGCAACTGCGATGGGAGGGGACCTACAGTGACAATCATCAAAGTGAACGATTACATATTTGGTGGATATACTGATGTGTCCTGGAGCGGAGGCAGGCATATCAAATTTTTTAAGAAGGGACAAGACAATTTTATAGGATTAACTATCCTTCCTCTCCGTCCTTTAAGGATTTAAAGGGGGGGGGGGGGAAAGAGGGTGCTGGAGGAAATATTAAACGATGCTCCTGTGATACTAGCTCTAAGCCTTTATTTTTTCATATTAGTGTTTTGGCCATCAAGATTTCTTCACACCAGTGTCGTCTATAGAAATGTTTTCTATGTGATACACCTACAGAACAACATTACATCCTAATACATTTGCTTCAAGTCTCAAAAATATTTACTTACTTTTTTTCAAAGTAACCCCTAAAATCTTCCATAATTGTTTTTGGTATTCGTTTCTATACCCAAACTAATAAAATATCTCCCTCCCCTTCATAAATCTCTAGTCTGAGAAAAAACTCTTCGTCTAGCTCATGGTGGAAAATAAACTCCCCACCCCTCTCCTTCCACTGGGGGTTTATGTTTTCTTTCAGCTTTTTAATGTACGACTACATTGTTCTTCTATTTCAGCTGGTTCTTGTGCAGGTCATTCCTACGCCAGTAAAGCTTTCATCTTCTCTCTCTATAACGTTAAAGGATACAATCCCGTAAAGTTGACACAATACCGAAATCAGCAATATGCAATGTACAGATGTAATTCGTATGGACCCATCTTTGGCGCTGGGTGTGGTTATTATGATATCTACATATCCGACGACTCTGGAAACAACCAGAACTCCTACACTAGATGCGGTTGTACGTACACGAAACCCTCAGGGTACTCAACTGGTGACTGTGGTTTTTTTACAGGGGGGTCTCATTTCTCTCCAACGGATGTCGAAGTATTCTATGAAGCAGGTAATCAAGAAAAACACCCCTTTCCGAGGATAAATACTGTAAGGATCTGTAGAAAATCAAATCGCGTATTGTAGAAATATTCTCAGAAAGTTGTGTTGCTAAATTACGGAAAGCCTACGTTTTTGTCATTTTATGAGGGTATGTGTAGGCTTATGAAGTCCTTTTGTAGTATTCATTTAAGTTCGTCACGCAACGTCTTGTCTGAGTTGCCGCGGGGGGTTGTGGGTATTACATTAAACGAAATTGTTTGGGCCACTTGAAAGAACGGCTGAGTTAACAAAAACATTTCAGACATGTTTTGATGCTACTCTGGCTCAAAGATTTTAATGAATGTAACCGAGACGTTACAATTCACAGACCCAATCTTTCGACGCTCCTGTCTAGTGCATTCATCAGGGATGATGATGAAGACACTAGACAGGAGTGTTGAAACGTTGGGTCTATGAATTGTAACTTTTCGGTTACATTCATTAAATCTTTAAACCATAGTAGCATCAAACCATGTCTGATTGTCCACCTTATTGCTTTGTGAACTTTAAAACAAATGTCATTCTCTCTGCCGCCTAAAATGCCGCCTGGTAGACGGGCTGGGAATTTTCTAGCTTGCCGGATCAGTAATGTAAGATTATCTAGCGAGCCAAACGAAGGGTGATGAAATTATCCACCTTAGATTCAAAGGCATCACAACCAATCAAAGCTCTTGTTACATTTATTTGGCCAACTGTAATTTTTTCCTTTTCTTTTCCCACCTCAGGCCTTGGTTTGTCCGCCATACTTCGAAGTCTTGATTACAACCAGTACTTGAAGGTGCTGTTTTCGTATTTGGACCCAGTCCTTATCAATAAAGAGCGTAGCAGGTTTGTGAGGTGTTGGCACGCAGAGACTGACGGTTGGGCAGCATCGACATTCCACAGTAACTGCGATGGGAGGGGACCCACAGTGACCATCATCAAAGTTAACAGTTATATCTTTGGTGGATACACTGACGTGTCCTGGACCAGCAGTGAGTAAAAATAAAGCAAACATCTCTAACATGTAGAACAGATAACAAATCGATTAGTTGTGGACTTTTCTAGTAGCAGTGAGTTCATCTTAGAAACAGAAAATATCACATTAACAATTGCGATCCCAAAGTAGATTAACTCGTAAATAGCCTGAAAACGCGTTTGAAACGGGTTTTAACTTAAAGTCTTGTTTCGGATTTGATTTTTGATTAGAGTTTGGTTTTGATTTGATTTGATTCTGACAGCTCCATTTCGTGTCATTTCCCCGTGTTTCGCTGTATCCATTATTCATATTGGAGAGCTGAGACGAAGGATGTTTAATTAATGCTCTCTTTAGATCATATGTTGCCTTTGAACAACACTTCGGACCATATCTCGAGTGCTTTTTTTGAAAAGTGAAAATATGCTCCCGAGTTCTTTGAAATTTTCTCTGACAAATTTAAGTGTTCGGTTCTAGTTCGGCAAATAAAAAAAATAATTTTTTTATGGTTATCATCATGTATTTTTTTCTCATTCGCATAGTTTCTAATGCTCCTAAATCTTTTCATTTTAGGTCCCTGTGCTTCTTCTTCAGCCAGCAAAGCTTTTGTTTTCTCTCTTTACAACGTCAAAGGATACAATCCTGTGAAGCTGACACAATACCAAAACCAGCAATACGCAATGTACAGATGTTCCTCCTACGGACCCATTTTTGGTTGGGGACATGACATCATCATATATGACGACGCTGTAAACAATCAACACTCTTTTACTGAATGCGGTGGGACGTACAAAAACCCCACGGGTTATTCGGGTGAAAACTGTGGATTTTTCACAGGAAGTCGTCAATTTACTCCAGCTAACATTGAGGTTTTTTTCGAAATAACAAACTAAACACTGAAAACTATGCTGTCTAAGTAAGTATTAAGTAAGTATTGTAACAATAGAGTTAATAGAGTTAATGCCTCCTCACACAAGGCCCGGTCAACAGAACTTGCTCTGTATTCTCTCAGTGCTTAGTCGCTTATTTTCGTATTTAAAAAAAAGCGCTCTGATTGGTGGGAAATCAATAGTTTATTGTACCGATACATATAATTTTAGTTACAAAAGTAACAGACTGCACTTTCTATTCGTTTACTAGCGTGATAAACTACTCAATATGTTAGTAGAACACTCAAAATGTTCGTAGATTGTGAGCAGTGAAAGAGTGATTTACAAACTTTTTTCGTGTTCTCCCAACATCCTGTGTGGTTTGTTAAGCCAATGAACCGATAGAAAGAGCAGTCTATTGTAAAAAGACAGCGCATTTTAGGCTGGCAAGGTTTAGGGCGCCTCCATTGGAACATCATGTTGTAGAGCATTCTAAATATCAGATCTTAGAAAACACCCAAGTTGCAAACCCTTTCCCCATTATAGATGAGGAATTTTTAGCGCGCACTGCCGTTGTGCGCACCGCCGTCATTTGCGTCGCACGTGCGTTTTCAGTTGCATCATTGTTGAAAAGAGTAGATATGGAAATGTTACCAGTTAAGTAATGTCAATTTTTTTTAACTTCCTATAACTTAGATTATGTTATATGGGCATCATTTTAATCATAAAGCAATAATTTTTTAGTGTTAAAATATATATTGTTGTAGCTTGGGTGTTGCACCGCAAGATAGCGAAAGTTTTGCTTCACAGAAGTTAAATACTCGCTGTCTGTGATAGGTTCCTACAAGAATTATCGAAAAGGGAAAATTGCTTCTCTCCATTGAGGACTACCACAGAGGTATCAGTGCAATGTGATCACGGCCAATGTTCTCTTTCAATTCTGTCATAAAGAACCAACAATTTCCATTCCTTCTCATCAGAACTGAAATTGAACCGGCAGAAGAGAATTTAAGAATTAGGAACAGAAATCAGCAAGTCAAAACCCAAATCAATGAACACAATTGAATTTAGTTGACGCTGAAAGTCACTGATCAGATCCGCAATTGAACCAAGAGAACAACATTTAAATTATGAGAACGCATCTCTTTTTTTGCGTCGACACAAGCCAAAAGTGATTTTTGGCTAGACTACCCGTTTTTGGATAATACAGTATGTCTAAAATCACCAGAGTGCCAAATTTTATTCCCTAATCTTTGGGGAACAACAAGACATTTTTTAAAACTGATGTGTCCTAAGCCCTCTACATGGCAAAAAATGAAAGAAGACCGGCAGAAGAGAATTAAGAATTAAGGGCACAACAAAGGAATTTAGTTGACGCTGAAAGTCACTGATCAGAACCAAAATTGGACAGGAAATGAAAGAAAACTTTTTTTCGACGGGAAATTGGAAGTCAAGAGGACCGCTCCTAGCGAAAGTGGCACTTGAGTATTATCCCCGGGCCTCACTTGGTTACCCGTGATCGTGTCACGTCCCCAGGCCTGATCAGAACAAAGATTGAACAGCGGAATGATCAGATGTGTTAATTTCTGTCTTGTTACTTCAATTTCTGTCTCATGTCTCAGTTTCTGTTCTTATGATTTAAATGTTGTTCTCTTGGTCCAATTTTGGTTCTGATCAGTGGATTAAATTTCTCTGAGTTGTGTTCTTAATTCTTAAATTCTCTTCAACCCGGGTTTTCTTTCATTTTTTTGCCCATGAAAGGGGGTATAGGACACATCAGTTTTAAAAAAAGTTTGGTTGTTCCCCAAAGATTAAGGAATAAATTTGGCATTCTGGTGTTATCCAGACATACTGAATTATCCAAAAACGGGTAGTCTAGCCAAAAATAACTTTAGGCTTGTGGCGGCGCAAAAAGAGAGAAGTGTTCTTAAAATTCAAATGTTGTTCTCTTGGTTCAGTTGTGACTCTGATCCGTGACTTTCAGCGTCAACTAAATTCCTTTGCGCTGTGTTCTTAATTCTTTAATTCTCTTCTGCCGGTTTAGTTTCAGTTCTGATGAGAAGAAATGGAAATTGTTGGTCCTTTATAGCAGAATTTGAAAGAAAATATTGGCGATGATCACCCCTCATAGTACAAAGCCGAGGTTGCATTTCATTTTCCTTCTTTCTCAATTCATACTATGCTTTACCATAACCAAAATCAAAAGGAAATATCAAGAATATAATCATGCAACCCCAATATCAAGAACATGTCGCCCAAGGTTCAACTTCTTTTTTAATCTCATGTAATCATTAGGCTCGACTGGCCTGGTAGATTTTAACCAGTTAGAGGTGTAGCTAAAATATTTAAACGTTTTTATCCTAATGTCAAAAGACAGTATGTAGTTTTAAGGGGGGTTAGAGGTGGATAGAGACATAAAAAGTCGGTTCCAGTCTCTAAGACAGTAAAGACATGCGAAAGGGCGAGCAAATACAAACGGCGGTTGTGGTTCTCAGGAAAACAGCTGAGCGCCTTTTTTCGCAGGCGATTCCAGAGCCTGCTACAGACTGAGAGATAAGGAGATTTGAGATTTGCGTTTAGCCTTACCTAGCCCCGATATTTAACATATGTTAAACTTACCATGAAAAAAAACTTCAGTTTGTATAGAAACACTTTGTCGGGCGGTTGATTCTTTTGAGATGTGATGTCATCCAGGAAGGAAGCCTTTTAACAAGGCCTATGAATGAAATTTCGACCTCACTTGTTCTTGATTTATCAAGCACGTCTGAACCTCAGGTCGATATCGAGTTATACAAAGAATTGGTCAAATATGATTTAAAACTTATTTGAACATCAAATTTATATCTGATCATAACTGTGGCTGTCAGAAATCAACTTTAATCCTTTGAATGTAAATAAAACTAAGTTCACCACTCGATTACTTTCATTGTGTTTTATTTCACCGTATGAAGATAACCTTCGGTCTCAGTTTTCAACGACTTAGAGCGATGAACCCAAAGTAAAATGTTCGCACGTGCACATCGCGCGCTAGATCCAAAGAGTAGTTCCACCTCGGCAAAATTTCCCGTTGCTGGGCTTTTCCCGCGCTTTTGAGCACCTCCACATTTTCCCGCGCTTACTTAGTGCTTTGTTCTTTCTCTCTCTTTTTCCCAATTTCATCCATTCAATGTTTCCTAGCGCCAATCAACAGCTGTATATTTTCCCATGTTCGTCATTTATCACCTACTCCTTAGCAATCGTATTATTCTGCACTTGCGCTGTAGTAGCACGCCACTTTGCTTTACCAAAAATATGGGCTCGCGAAAGATTTTTTGTTTCCTGTATTCAAGTATTAACTCATCAAAAAAAAATACATTTTTTTGGTAAACGTACAGAGCTATGGGGAATTATAGGTTTCACAAGAACAAGACTAAAAAACCGGCCAAGTTTTCTTTTTATATTAAAACAGTAGCTCATTGTGATCTTAGCCCAAAGAGAGACAAGTCCTGTTATTTATTTTGGTGCATCAGTATTGTTATTTCACTCAGCAAATTTTTTGAGGTTTTTTAAATCAAAATATGCAAATTTTTTTCACTATTTCTCAAAACAATGTTCTTCGTAATTTTCTTAATCTTTCGTCACTCATTTTTTTAAACTCTTGGACAGCAGATTTCGCTAAAAAAGCAAAGAGGGTTTCTTTTAATTTGTACTTTAAGGATGCAAGACGCCTCTTCCTCAAACTGGTTAACTTGATAAAAATTTCTTGACTTGCGAACATATACACCCAATATTGTATCCAATGTTGTATCCCTTATTGTGATGTGAAAATACCGCGTACTTACGTGCAGAGTACACCGAATATCTAAGTACCCAAAGCCCCCAACCGAGCATGACGCGAGGCAGGGGTCAGGGGTTTTATAATTTTATACCAAACAGCTTATTGAAAGTGGGTATCACTCCTTTATCACGCTAATAGTTGCCTGGGGCGTGATTCTTTTCTCTTTGTACTACTCAATATGGTACGCATGGTCCCTTATACTTGAAAAGTCGTTTAATTTTTTAATAATTACGGCTGATGAGAATTCTAGAGAGTCAAAGTGCCTTTCTTGTTAACCCAAAATTGCAAGCCTGACTCATTCCGCTGCAACAATTACTGTAAAACTATGCGCTTTCGAGATTGAAATAAACGGTGTAATTTAAATCTCGAATGCTAGACAGGAACAAGGAATTACTTATTAATAACATTTTTCGAATGACTATTTTAACAGCACCCATAGCTGCAAACCGACAAATATTGACCAAAGAGTCTTTTTAAAGCAGTATTAATTCCTCTCTATAAAGTCTGTAATAATCGTGTACTATTGCGGGCCAAAAAAAAAAGCAAGTCAACGTCTAGTAAACTCGCACAGCCACAGAATTTCGAAAAGTTACAAAAACTGAAAAGCTTCTTTGATATCACCTTAGATTTAGAAGGCCTATTCGGTCCACCGTTTTATTGTCTCGCTGTTTAGAAGTGCTGTTTCACAGTAGTTTTGTTTTCTGACATTTGTGGCGGTGAAATTGAGTGAGTATCACAAAAAAACGAATTTTTGCCGGAAGGATCGCTTAAGTTTTCAAAAACAAGTAGAAGACTTACAAGGAATCTGGGTCTTAAATAATTGATTACTTTCAACAATTCGTAGACAAAACAAAGCGTATGGACCTGACTAAGATGTAAAACTTCAGCTTAGTCTTTGAATTAGGGAGCTACACTAACATACAGACAAGAATCACCAGCAAAGAAACATTCTTGGAGAAAACGGTAGGAAGTAATTTTGTTTGTGCTTAGTTGTGTAGAGTATTTCGTTTACAGAGAGCTATGTCAGTAGTCATAAGTTGTTGTAGCTGTTGTTTAGCCTGCTACAGACTGAAAGATAAGGAGACTTGAGATTTGCGTTTAGCCTTACTTAGCCCCGATATTTAACATATGTTTAACTTATGAAAAAAAAATTCAGTTTGTATAGAAACACTTTGTCGGACGGTTGATTCTTTTGACAGAGATGTGG